CCGCCTCAAGAAACAGCGAAACAAGTTGATGAAACGCTGGGCTGGGACCTACAAACTGGTCGAGAAGCTTCCTGGCAGCCTTTGGAGGGCTCAGGAGCGGATACGCGACAAGCCGGGCTGGAAGAAGATCCTCGTGTTCCATGAGAACTTCATACAGAAGTTCGACGATGATAAACACGTTTGGTGATTCAGCCGGACGACCAGTACTTCGGAGTAGGAGCGCAGTTCAGCGTGGGAGTGCCCATGTTGAAGTTGGCCATTTCCAGGCCATAAATGACAAGGCAAATGTCTCCATCAACTTCATCTTCCCAGCATCAACAGACAACATTTCCAGCAGCACCAACCGACCGATATTAGCTACTTCATCAAGAGCATTATACAGCTGAACATAGCAGCAGCATGAGGAGCGATCAACAGGCTACAATCTGACCAGAAATGTGCAAAGTCAAGCCGCTCAGCGATCACAGTTCCGGAACCAGCTCCAATAGACAGTCTTCCTACCCTACATGACCGACTACGCATCAACATGCAAGGTTCCGTCCGACTTTGACGCCCAGCATGGGATAACGATATCCTCTCACACACCCACAAGCCGTCAAGCGACCAGTCCAACATCCAAACACCGTCCAAGACCTCCAAAGCGGCCAAAGCGCACAGCAGCGCTCCCCTGCATTCTGACCATCCTGCACAGCGAGCCCCGCCTCCCAGTCCCACTGCCTGGCAGCTCGTTGGCAGTTTCCCGGCAGCCATGACAGCAGCGCGATTCCGCCAGGTCGAAAGCTGGCGCTTTCTGATCGCCCAGTGGCTTGCCTTCGGCGACCTCTGGCTCTCGAGATGGTATCTCGAGAGGGCGGACTGCCCGGAAGGGTACTGGAGCTTCGGGCTCACCGTCATCCTGCCGTTCAGCGCTGAGGACGCGCAGTGGCTGCATCACCAGTGGGATCATGAAGAGGATGCCTTACGCTATCAGTTGTAGGAGCAAGCGCGCGAGGCGTACGAGCACATGGAGTCAACGCAACTGACGTCAGGCCATCGGCCAGGGCCAGGGGAGAAGCCGGACTGGAACCCTGACTACGATCCGGAGGCTGTGTACCGCCCCTGGACCCTCCAGGTGCACCCCCTTCCGCACCGGCCGTACACCGGCATGGGTACGCAGGCCTTTCGGCAGCGGATCGCGGCGATGATCGAACGTGAGGGGGGTCGAATCCAGGCCTGGCGAGGCGCCGAACTGAATTACTACAGGCACGAGGTACACATCAGCCTCGACATCAGCGTGCCGTTTTCGGACGCGAGGTGTTGGCGCATGGAAGGTGGAGGCGTGACCCGCCGCGAATACGCCGCGACACACCCATCACGAGCGTCTGAGGTCTTCCCGCGGGAAAGGAAGGACTTCGGGATCCAAACTAAGCCGAATGCCGCCGTCCTGCCCTCGGCTGCCTTCGCGGAAGCCAGTGCGATCGTGGAGCGACGCCTCAACGCGGGCAAACCGCCGTACACGGACGTCGAGGTACGCGCGGAGGAGCGTGCCTAGCGGAGGGCCATCCGGCGTCAGCGCCGGGAAGCGCGGGCGCGCGGTCAAGCCCTGGATGACGTCATGGTGGATGCGCCCAGTGAGGGGCCGTCTACGGTACCGGCAACCATCGGCGCTGCCGAGGTGACGACACCGGCCCTGCCACCCGGTTTTGATGGGACGCGCAACGAGAGGGTGATGACGCCATCGCTCCCGCCGGGATTGGGTGGCTGAAGGGCGCGGACTACTGAAAATCGGTAGACGGGGCGGCGATCGTGACGGGACGAGGTGCACGCTGGCGGATGACGCGATGACTGGAGGCCGCCTGAAGCCAGCTGGCACGTCTGGAGCTGTCCAAGGGAATCCCTGGCGGAGGAGGAGTGTGTGGGAGTCTGGCTGGCATGTGATTGTATGGGGTGGACTGTTGTGGAATGTGTGACTGATTGGGTCTTTTCTTGTCCGGGAGTGCGAGTGGACTCGGAAGGGTGACGAGAGGGATGAACCAATGAGTAACAGCTGTACCAAACAGACACTCCTGTAATAAAAAGCCGCGGGGAGTCTGTCCAGGCAGCTCTCCGGCAGGCCTTTGTGTGACAGTCTGTGTCCCAGCCGCCTATACCTCCCCGCCGTCGCGCCACAGCCCCCCGCCGGCTTGACCAACCACTGGTCTTGCCCTCTTGCGGTACCCGTGTGTCCGCAAGCCGGCCTAAGGAGCCCCGAGGCTCTGTGGCGTTTCTCACACTCGCGTTGAGTGGTGAGTAAGACGTTCGTGGGATCCGGAGTGACTGAGGGCGGCGCATTACGCAAGGCGAGCGCCGTCGCTGGTGCTGGAGTGCCGTAGCACCCTACGGGAGTGCGGATCGGCCGGTACGCGCAACAGGTGGACGCTGTGAGGGAGTTGCGACGTACGGAACTGGTGGAGACCTCTGCGGTGAGGTGCGAGGTTGATATGAGCTTTCCGGGAACGTCCATGGAAGGAGCTGCCGTCATGGCGGCGTTGGCTGGCGCTGTCGGGCAGGGTGTGAGGTTCCTGGGCGCTGGCATCCAGTGGATTGGGGAACTCCTGGTGACCCTACTTGGGTGGCTGGCCTGGATGCTTAAAATTGATGAGACGAAGATGAATTCAGTTATAGGAGCGGTCAGAATGGTCTATAATGGCCCGGCCCTCCTCATTTTGTTCAACATGACTGCCGCCATTTTCTGCGCGATGGGGCAACTTCTGCACAACCACGATGGCCGTGTGCCATCACCATTCTGAAAGTTTCCACCGGATGCATGACGACGTCCATTCTTCCACACATGACACTAATCAGCGGCCGCATCACCTCTGAAGCACCCATCGAATACGCCGACGTGTTGAAGCACGCGACGTGTTGAAGCACGCGGCGTCTGCACAGAGCAAAATTGGCGAAAACATTTTCAAAACGATGCCAGCACGTGCAGCCGTCGTCCCACAGCTATCACTTCCGTCTCTTACCCTTCGAGCCACAGCGGTGCCCTCTCTCAGCGGCGTCCCCCAGCCTTCGCCACCGGCCTCGTGGCACCAAGGCACACCCGAGCTACGCGACCCAATGTCTCTGAGGCCGACACAACAAGTTATCACGTCCTTGCAAACTTGTCGGCCTGATTGCGCTCAAGTCCTCGTCAGCCTTGGGGATCTCGAGAGGTTGGCACGACACCCTGCATTGCGAGGTTGGCCTTCCAGGATGTCGACAGCGACGGAAGACCGAAGCACACGACAAAGCTAGGGAATGGGATGCATTGGGTTTTCCTGTTAACCATCAAGAACCCCAATGGGAGTCCAGGGATATCACATTACAACAAGGACACGTTCACCACGGATGTCCCCTTCTCCCTTGGCGTTTGAAACCATGCACTTTTTGCATGTTGCGCTCTGGGTACACCTTCAATCTTGCCCACGACAAACTTGCATCAGACGCACTCATTCTCCCATTACCCACAGATGCTGAATTAAATTTGGCATCACCTGTTGTTCCCAGCCATTTTGTTGAACCATACCCATTTGCGGTGCCACAGTTCCCTGCCTGGCTCAATTTCTCAACACAACTCATTTCGGACCGCTGCAATGCCACGCTCACAAATCCTTTGACGGGGCCTCGCCAGTGACGATGCATGACACCTCGCAATCCGCCGGGGCCTTCACAAATGTCCGACACCCTTCATTTCCGGACATGAAGGTCATTTTTGACTTTGGCGTTGTTTGGGTTTCAAGGGCCTTTCACCCTTCATGACCGTCATCATCCCCTTCATGACCTTCGAAGGTCAGACATGAGGTGGGATATGAACTCATGCCCAGAAATGATCGGTGACGGACTAACCCCGCACCTTTGGAGACACGTCAACGCCATCAGGGAGTGAACGGGCCCATTCTTCTGGGCTTTCTCATACCACCAGGCGTCTCCGGCTTCACTGTCTGACACGTGACCTCGCGCGTCACGGCCTCCTCCCTGTGAGGGCACCCACTGGGCTTTGTCCACAACTCCCGACAATTGTTCATCGGGCAAGACCAGAATCATATCGAAGGAGCCCTCATAGATGTTTTGGCGCCCCACTTGAACGTGCACGCCATTCAGGCCATCTCAAAGTTCAGTTTTATTCAAGAACTCAAGATATTCAGGTCATTGAAATACTCTCTTCCGGAAAGATCAAGGAACATCTGAAATAGCCACTGCCAGATACGCGCAGATGATCAGCCATCCGTTCGATTTGTGTTCCAACGCGCAAGCTTCAGTTCCCTTGGCCATGAGACACCTCTATACCATCCGAAATCGTGTCATCCACAGTGCGAAGCCAAGGCTGCACCCCCAGGCATAGCTTGCATGCACATTTGATGCCACATCATGCCCAGTCCCAGTCACAGCGGCACAGCGCACACTGTGATCGTCCTTCCAATTACTGCTGGTCCAACAACTGTCCTAAGCAACCGATCACCAGATGCGGGCACTAAAATGCCCTCCAGCCATTCGTCGGCTGAAATCGCCAACCAGACGGTGGTCCTTGCACAAGGTAGACGATTATCACATGCTGAGACACCGCCCGTGGTCAGGGCTGCCGTCTTGGCGCCTGCTCCCACACATTGCACTGAGGGATGTCTGGCACGGTGTGTGCAGGAGCAGCCACCTGGTGGAGGCAAGGAGAGCCAGCCAGTTGTGGCAGTTGGTCGACAGGCAGGCAGAAGACAGTGCCTTGCTGCCAAAGCGTCAGCAGGTTGGGAGCCGCATGGATGTCACCACCAGCATTATTGCGGCAGCATGAAAACGAAGACATCCATTGAAACAGCATCTTTGGCCAACAGGACCTGGGTTCTCAGCTTAGCAGGCTCTCATGGTCAAGGAACAGCTTAATAAGAGTGTTGGCGCTCATGAGCTGTCCGCTCATCCACAGCTCAGCTGAATTGGGCTCCCCAGTTCAGCAGGTCCACTACATGGAGGGACGTCGTCACGTGGACATTGCCCCTCACAGAAGATGTTCACCCCACCGTTGCATCCTTCAGTGGCTCCACAGCTGATGTGATGTCCATCATCTTCCCTGCCCCATCATACACGCGATTGAGGCAATCAGCCAAGTAGGGAGCGGCCACATCAGCCAGGCTTTCGCAAGCTGAGTGAAACACTGCCCCCTGCGAGGCATTTAGGCCATGTGTGACCTTGTAGTGTGCCAGACGCAAAGCCACACTTTCCAGAGAGTCTTGCATTAATTTCGCAACTGGCTGCATTAAAGCAACTGGCGCACAGTGCCGCAGTTCGTTCAATGCTGCCAGCATGCCATTGACGAACGTCGCAATGGGGAGGTGCTCCAGCAGTGCATGAGGTGGCCTGCCGTCTTTGCCGCCCTCGCCAGTGTCGCTGCCCCCCTGGTTCTGATCTTGTCCAGAAGTCATGGCTGGCATGGCCACCCACTTGTGGGACTCCAGCAGGGACCCAAAACTGTCCACTGCAGCAACCAGCCTGCTGGAAAATATATCCAGCATGCAGGGCTCAAACACCGAAGCCAACAGGCCCCTAAAATCCAGCCCAACACGACCGAGAGACATGCCGCAGTACATGCAGTGCTCCAGGAGGGACGCCACGTTTGATCCCTCCGAGACCTGCGGCAGGAAGGTCTTCAGAGATTCCAACAGCAGCACCACACGGTGCAGCGCCCAGCTGGACAGGAGCCCACACTCGCCCACCCCCTTCGACCCGTCAGCCCCCTCGGTGGAGAACACAGCCCAGTACTGCATCACTACATCGAACAAGTGCAGCCGGTGGACGTCCGTTACTCGCTTCAGGTACTCATAGGGGTTGCCGTCATCCAGGTCGGCCACCAGGCCGCCTATCCACTCCTCGCGGCAGCCCAGGAAGCACAGCCTCAGCTCGCGCTCAGTGAACAGCCCCAGTCGCCTCAGGTACCCGATCACACTCAAACACTCCGGCAGCTGGATGCTGGACTTCAATTTTTGCACCAGCTGCCTGAGCATCAGGTTGGTTACGCCCTGCACCTCCTCCACCAGGTCCTTGACGACGGCCATGTTCCCGTGCAGGGCGCCCAAACGGTTCATGAACGCCTGGAAGTCCAGCGCCTCGTCATAATTCCCGTTGCGCACACAGGCGTCCATCAGCTGCGGCACCTCCAGCAGGCCCAGCACGGCGTGCTGCTGGCCCAGCAGCTGCTGGTTCTCCGCCCTGCGGCCCATGACGTCCCGCACGGACACCCTGAAGCCCTCGCAGGCGCCCGAGAACTTGGGCAGGCTGGCGCCCAGGGCCTCCAGGGTGCCCTCAAAGGTGGTCAGCTCGTCGTGGATGGTGCCCAGTGACCTGGTGGCCTCGATGAAAGCCGCGTAGTGCTCCACGGCGGACTCGGTCACCTGCCGCTTGACCCGTTCCCTGTCCTCCTGCAGCAGCTCCGGCTCTTTGTTCAAGCGCTCCAGGCTGTACGACAGCAGCTCGGAGAAGTAGAGGTCGGAGAAGTCGGGGGCGGGGCCGCTGGGGGCGCGCTTGAGGGGCTCCTGCGCCTCGAAGGTGTTGCCGGTGAGGCGCGGGAAGGGGGACCTGGCGGGGGAGGGGGGAAAGGGGGTATGGACGGATCCAGTGGGCGAAGTTATCGACGGGAGGCGCAGGTGGGTGGGATCTTGGGGGGAGGGTGGGGGCGCCATCGTCGGGGCCGGCGCTCCCCCGCGCTCTGCGGCATTACCACAGTGGGACTGCAGTCAGTGGTGGATCCAGCGCCCAGGATGGCGTCGCGATCCGCGAGCTTCAAGGAAAAAATGAGGGATGAGAGGCGCGACAGATGCCGCTGTCGGCGACGGAATGGAGGCGTGTATGCGCCGACGGGGTCTTCAAGGGCGGGCCCACCTTGGGACGCGAAGACTACTCCCTGCTGGAAGACTCCTCCTGCCCCACTCCCTGCAGATGCGTCACGGCCGCAAGCCGTGCATGAACTCAACTCAACGAGCCCCAAATCTGGTGAGCAACGCAAAAAAATTGAGGAAAAAAAGGGCTTCCTCCCACATTTGGCGCCTTCTGCCCATCGCGGCTGCGCACTTGCCGGACCTGGGCCCGACGCCATGCCTCGCCGCTCGGTGGGCGCCCCCCGCAGCCCGCCCAGCACGAGGGCGCAATGGAAAGAAGCGCGGCGCAGTTTGAGGTGAATTCTGTGAGCCGTGGTGCTGGGACGAGAGGGTGCGCCTGGCCCCTGCTCCCTTGTCGCGTTCAAGTTCCAAATGGCCCCCTGCATCGCTTCATCTTCCCAGTCGCGGCCTCGACACTGCAAATTTCTTCGTCGGCAGACATCTAAGTGGCCCCGCTGCTAAATGGTTTCAGGGAGTTTGGAGGGCTAATGCGGCAAGAAGTCGAGAAGCTGGGGGCCAGTCTGAAACCATACATATTGCACGCGGCCACGTCCTCTGTGGCCTACACAGTTGCGCTGGCTGCGGTGCAGGTAAGACTGGGCGACCACCATGCCATTGCCTTCCCTCCATTTCCGCTCAAGGCGCAATGCCTCGCCTGTACATCTGTTGGGCCATGCCACTGCATCGCCGGAATTGCTCCGGGCCAATGGTTGAGTATTGAAACGAAACAGCCAGTGTACTTCGCGCAGCATTTCCTCCTAGGGGGTGAAAGGAAAATGCCCTGCTCAGTCTTGACAGACGTTTTCAAGCATGATTGTGCCAGGGACATTGCCGCTGACGCCTGTTCCTCGCCAGTACACAGGATGCCTGTGCCGGGTGTCGTGCGCCACGCCCATCCTGGGGAGCGTCGGTGGGGCAGTCGGCGTGGGCGCCGCGTCTTTGTGTGCTGGTCAAGTCTCCCTCATGACACACCGGTATTTGGAAATGGAGTCCAGGCTGAAGGGCGAGAACCTGTGGGGACGGGTCAAGAAAGTCTCGATGAAAGCGAGGAGGGAGGACCTGATTGTCGACGCTGCGATGGGATTGGCCCTATTCAAGGTTTGTTGTGCGCTCGGAATGCTGCCTGGTTCTTTGTGTCCAGCCGCATCTTGCCTGCCTGAATTTTTTCAGCAGTGCTTTCACCTTGATGAGCCATTTTTATGTGGTGGAAATAGTCTGAAAATTGTTTGCTTTGGGGAATTACCTGTTGCATCTTCTGTGTGGTTCAGATTGCAAACTTTGGTATTGCATGATATGTTGATCGCACGTGGTGGTGGACCATCTGTTCACAGTGCGGGTGTCATGACGTTTCTTCTGAAAGAAAAGACAAATCCGGATTGCATCAATGATCTTTGGATTTTTGGTATCTGATTGATAAGCCAGGATCGACATGCGGCATTGCCACTTTTGCCCAAACCCTCTCTTCAAACTATCATGCCAATGGGAGGTCCTTGCCATAGATTTACCCCTTGTGTGCTGGTTGTCCTTCAGCTTCTTGGAGGCCGTTTTCGACACATGATGCCCAGCAACCTGCTCCACCCAGGGGTGTTTGCATCTGAGTCCATCGCAGCAGTTCGGGGAACAAACTATGCATCGAAACCTGAGAAAGCAGAAATTAAGAGGTTGTTTGAGAAGTATGGATGCCACCACTGTGGTGAGTGATGCATCTCATGAATGCCAGCTTTCGTCTTCCACACTAATCTGGCATATGCCATCTTTGCAAGCTGAAGGCAACGAACATGTGTGAGATATTCTGCCACATTTAATTGGACCTGAACAGTGTTTGTGCCTATGAATCATAGGTCTGTTGGTGTATGGAGCCAAAAACTGAAATTAATGTGGTGAGTTGACGACAAGATGAAAGAAGGATGAACGTAAATGGATGTGTTGTTGTGTGTGGATGCTTTTGTCTGTAGGCACAAAAAGGGGTCCAATTATTGCTGATCACCAGCCTCCATCGGGAAGGCTGGAGCCAAACCTTCAACTTTTGCAATTCGCAGATGAGCTGGGGTTTGGTTCTGCTCTGAAAGTGGTATGTAGGGCGGACAACAAAAGCACACATGTCATTGCTTTGTCATTAATCCACAGGGTCCTCAGCAGAATTCCAGCTTTGCTGTATACAACTTGTGCTGTGTTGCACTGAAATTTCTGCCATTATTCAAGCAACAAGTGGAGAACTGCGCATCGCTTTGGCACTATTGTGTTGCAGTGATTGCGTAGCTGAGCGATGATTGCAATATTGTATCGCAACTGTCCAGCTGCCCATTGTCATCTGTAAGCAGATGCATAATGTTTGAAGGCCCTGGCACCAGAGACTCTGCTTTGATTCAAATGCATGTATTTCGTAGTTGAGATCGGTATTATACGCTTGTGCACTGCTCTGCACTCGTGTTGTCACCCCTCTGGCATGTACTTCGACCTGAATCGTAAGGGGTGTGTTCTTGGTGGAATCAACAGTTGGACATTGTGGGAGTGCATGAGAGTATCAGACAAGCCATTGATGGGGACATGGATGCTTTGTTGCCCCTGTACTGTGCCAAGCCAAGAAGTACAGCGCTGTATGCACCTATACATTGAGCTTCCTTGCTTGGCGTGATCTGCTGCGTTTGGGTTTTAGGGCTTGGATGCTATGAAAATAAAGATTGAACCACCAAAGCAGCGTTTCTTTCCTCAATGTCGCAATTGCTCCCAGAGGCAAGCGGCTGCAGTGCGGAGAAGGCGAAAGGGCAATGCCCTTGTGATGCATTTTGGAGGGATGAGGCCATGGCACTTTGCAGGTATGGCAAGGGCGGATCTTGAGCCAAGTCCCCAGCTGACCGACCTGCTTACTGTAAAGGCGGTCATCCTGCCACCAGACATTCTGCCACACAACACATTCCAAAAGCTGCACTGTAGTTGCTGCGTGAAGGACAGTTTTTGATTTGTGCTATTGGCATCGTGCAGATGACGCTGGTGCCAAGTGTCGCAGTGAGCAGTGGCATGAAATCGGGCATGGTAGCTGTTGGGCACTGCTTTTGCATATGCCAGGTGCCCACAGTTCTGTAGCCATATCTATGTCATGCCATGGGCTGCATATGGAACGATAGCCCCTTTAGTGTACTCTTTTGTGATTTTTGGTTGAGCATTCAATAAGTTGTTAGCAATGTAGCAAGGAGATTCGGTGTACCACAGTGTCCATCCGATGACAACTTGAGGTATTTACTGGTGGTTATGGTGAGAGAATTGTTCGATTGCAGCACAAAAGAAAGTAAAACTCGTCTGATTGTCTGGCAGCTGACGTGAGGCAGCTTGTCCAGAGCAGCCCTCCAGTGTCAAAGCCTCAGTTCGCACCCAGCAGTCCATCAGGTGGAGGCTGTACAGGCTGCATTTGTCTGCCAAGTGATCCCCATTACTGTGCCTGCTTCAGGTGTTGTGGTAGGATTGCGTCACTACTCCCCAAGCAAGCTGCCCCAACGGCGGCGCTGGTTATAGTGCTGTGCTTGGCCAGCTTTTTCAGACAAGCACGCTCATCGCAGTGCGTCCGCTGCTGCAAAGCCGCACAGGCGGTTGTACTTGGCAGATATGGGGCATGGAGGCCCCAAGTCCCCACCACACAAACTGAGGCGTGTTGCTGGAGCGCCGTCCCGCAGGGCAGTTGTCGCCTCGTTATTCACCACATCAAATATGCCTGATACTGTGGAGGTGGCTGGTCTGAGCGTACGGAGGCCAGTCGGTTGAGACTCCGACGTGGGACGCCGTTTGGATTTGTCAACGCTCATTGATGGCACTTTTGAACGCTCGACCGATCACGATCCTGTCGCCTGTCAAGCGGTTATGCCGTGCGCTGTGCACAAACACTGGTGATGGTCACCGACGTGTAAACGGCTGGATGCAAGGGGGGATTGTACTACTGGATCTTTAAGTTCTTGCCATGTCCCAACGTGACATCTCTGGTGAGTGTTTGTCACCGCCACGCGCCGGATCTGCTGCTTTGGATGTCTGGGTCACAAAATTGTTGGAAACGTGGGGCACTCTACAAAAAGCTAGATCGGGAACCCGGCTGCTTATGGATGGCGGGACAGCCGTGTGACCGAAATGCAAACGGTGCAGAGCGCTGCACCCGGCAGGGTTACTTGCGCTATTCGCCCGGTCAGCGGCTCCAAAATGTGGGGATGCACAACAGTCTTGGTATGCTTGGAAAGGGAGGGAATGGATGGCCACTCGCTAGAATATTGCGAAACGGGCCGCACAAGTTAACCTGCCACAAGTTCTTGAGGTGCATTGCATGCATGGGCCCTGTCGTTGTGGTAAGAGCTCGGGCTATGGGTTTTTGACTGTGCCTCGCGATCAGAAGAAAAAAAAGGGATTGGGGCAGTTAGGGGCGGCTATGACGAGAAGTCGTGCGCCCGACCAACACCGAAGGGTCATGCTGGCTGCGATGCTGAGAACAATAGGAGACTGGCCGCGCAGCTCGGTGCATTTTCAATTTCTGTCCGCGCTGCTGTTTGCAAGGCTCCAAACATCGCAGAACTCATACACACGCAAGGATAGCCAGCGAATCTACAACCATGTACAACAATGTTCTCCCCGCATTCACTGCAGATCCGATTGCGAACAACCCTGAGAAGCAGATAAACGCCTGAAGCCCTGGAAGTCAAGGGGGAATTGAGCACAAGCGTAAGATGCAATTTTCCGACAAGCCTGTGGCAACCAAGAATTCGCTGCCATCCGCACCCCGTCTTTGTGTATGGCCCGTGCCGTGATCTTGCCGACCATGCAATCTATGGAAATTCGTGACGCCCACAACGTCTGCGTGTGAACTTAAACAGGAAGCTGCCGTCCATCCGGACATGCCCGGCACAGAAGGATGACGGCGGGAGGCGCCATCATGGGAATGCTGCTGTGTGCACCCTTGCCTTCGACGAGCGTTGTTAGCACCGCGCAGTGAAAAGCGAGTGCTGGAGGTTCTGGGTTTGGACGTCATTTTGATCTGAAAGATCGAGGCCATGCATGCGTGGTGCGGCTGGATGGAGGGTGGGACCGATCTCGAGGGCATATGCTGCACTTCGCTACCAGCTCCACCCTGAATCAGCGCCAACGCTGGCGCCATCCGCTGGCTTTCGGCAAGCAAGCAGCTCTGGCGCACAAGACCAAAGCTCAGTATAAGCGGTTCCTGATCGGCCACGCTTAATCGTCCGGTTGAAGCTCCTGACGACTCCATCTCTCACTCCAGCACACCACTGTGGGTGTCCCACCTCCTCTCCCTATCCCTTCGCTCGGCTTCCCTTTTCGCGACCATCATCTTATACGTCACCACAGGCTTCATGACGGCAACCACTGTGATTAGGCCCGCAGCCTCCAAGTCCTCCAAGACGGTGCTTATCTCTTTGTAGGCGTCAGGGTGCTCTTCATACATGAGAGCCGCGCTGTCGCACACGACGTGCCCTTCCAATGCGGTTGTTCTCAAGACCTTGGCATTGGGAAATCGGGCCTGCCCCATGGAGAGGGCTTTGCCCCGGTTCCACCTCCGCCCGGCGCCGTGGGCCAGGCTGTAAGCGGCCTTGCGCTGGCTGCCAGCATCGCTTGTGGGGAGAACCAAGAAGCTGTGAGTCCCCCGTGAACCTGGCAAGATGGCAAAGCAAAGTCGGTACAGCTGACAGTTGAAGCGTTGGTGCAGAGACTTCGCGATTGTGCGACGTGTTGCGCCAAGCATGTCTGGGCAGGGCTTAGTTAAGTCATGCCATATTATAATATGCAGTGCATACTATGCACATATAAGTTGACGAAGTGTGATGGCCATGTCACCCGTCACTGCTGAATTACGGCACAGGAATCGGTTCCGCTTGATAACGGTCCATAGGGGCAGCTGTCGATACAAGCAAACTGGCGAGAAAGCTTGCGATTGCTTCCAGTACGGACTGCCACCCGTTTTTTCGCGTTGCGCGGCAGCGTGGTGGGACAAATTATGATCTTGGATATTGAACCTTGACACGATATGTCTTCGGTAGCCATCGCTTTCAAGGCGCAGAGAATATTTGCGATGGCCATTTGAACAATGTTATCCACAGAAGCTCACTCTTCCAGAATCTAAACTGCCAGACAACTACAAGCATCTAAAGGGCAAGCGCACCATCCCAGTTTCCTACGACTTCTGTTCTGCCAGCCTTCCCTCCTGCCCTTGGAATGCCGATCCTTTTTGCGCTTGGGATTGTGCGTTCCTTATTTGCAATCAATGCATCAGCGACAATAGACTATCTTTGAAATTGTAATGGTGACTTGATATACATATGTTTTTAATTGCTGGCCATCATGGCGACATTCTTCACCTGGTATAATTACAGGGCCGCAATCTGCAGGGGCGGCTCCTTTCCTATGGAGCCACAGGTGGCCATCCCCACTGAGGGCTTCCGTCTTGACGACATTGTTGTGACAGACATCCAGCACGGGGTCGTCAACATCCGCAATGTTGGCACCAAGCGATGACAAGAATCTGTGGGCAATCAGTCGTCGATTGCACTGGGCCCAACGGCAAGCGTGATCGTGGGCTGTCATGTACTCCTGGAAGTCTGCAGTACCCTCGTCTATAGGCACAACGCCTTTGGTGTCCAGGTAGTCCTCCAAAACTCTCTTCCCAAGTTGACGAGATCCGCTGTGAACAAGAAGGTACATCTTGTTCTGTTTCATTTCCAGATTCTCGAAAGTGACTGGGTCCAGCACTTCCTCCACTCCTTGCAGCTCAGCAAAATGATTGCCACCGCCCACGGTGCCCAAGCAATCCCTGCGTTAGCAAAGTGTGGCATCAGGCAAGGCTCAGCCACTCTGCGACTCAAGGTCGCGCTTCCGAAGGTAGGTCTATTTAGTGCAGTATGTTGCCATGTTTGGAAGGACATTGACTTCAGCCGCACCCATTTGGCAAGCGATACGAGGGCTGCTGTGTAATGCCGCTGTGTTAATGAAATTATTGGAACCAGTGTGTGCTTGTGTGATGTTTCTACACTTGCGGTCAAAACCGGCAGTGGGGTGGTTGTTGTGGTGGGAAGGGGGGGCGAGGAGGGAAGGCAGGGAGGTTTGAGCTCTCAGACCCATCCGAAACAGTGCCGAACGAGATGATTACTGTTTCAGCTGCACACATGAGATTGACATACTGGCTTTGAATCATAATACAGGCAGTCATTTGCAGCCTTTCCAACTGTAAACTTGAGCAAAAGAATCACAGGGATGTGTCAAAAGGACACACATACACATGTACAACTCCAAGTGGGCGGATTGGCCCTGACGTTTTGCAGTGCTGTCATCTGCAGAATGTAAGCATGTAGTGGACTGTGCACAAACGCTTCAAATAATATTTCGATCGCCGTTTGTGTTGACATTTGATCCAGTGGGGAACAACTGCATGCTATGTATGTCAAAGTGCCCAGGTGCAAAGACAGAGCTTGGGCGAGAAGGCCAATGACAGTGAAACCTATTGGAAACCAGAAGGGACTACCGCCAAAAAGAAGTGCTGCAGGTGCCATACCTATCAAAATTGGTTCTCGCAATGCCATACCGAGAGAGCCACCCCTCAGTGTCACCTTCCCATGGACCCTCCATTGGCTCCAGTAGTTTGCTCCATTTCTCGGCTTGCTTAGCACTGTCCTTGTTCTTCAGGGAGGTGCGGAACAGTGTCATGCCACACCCCACATCGTTGCCCACCAAGAACGGCATGACTTGCCCCTTCACTGCAAACGTCGCACCAATTGGGAAGCTTGGCCCAGGATGGAGATCTGGCATGCCGATCGCCATTCGAATGGAAGGAAAATGATATGCTGCTCTGTGCAGCTGTTGAACAGCCTCAGCCTCAAGGTCACTCTTGTTGGCAAGGATGTGGACAACAGCATCTGAACTTGGACCTGGTCGCTCAAGGCTTGGATTACAGGCGGAGTCATGGCCGTCAACATGGCCATCTTGAGCTGTTGACAAACTCGTGCTCCCTTCTGTGCAGGCGCCTCCTAAGTGTGGATTGTCAATGGACTGAGTACTGCAATCCACAGTGGTACTGTGCTGATATCCATCCACAGGGTTTGCGGATTTGCGAGCCTTCTTTGTTCCTTTGCGTGCTGTCAGCAGCGAGCCGTTGGTGATCAAGGCCACATGCTCATTGTCAGTGATTTCCAACCCATCTGGCATGAACAGCTGCAGCTTTTTTATCCTGCACCACTCCACAGGAAACAAAGTCTGGACAACAATTTTGGCAACAGGGGCTACACTCCGACTGCCCTTTCCACAGGTTCTGATCTTTCCGTGTGAACTTTGTGTTCAAATCTATTTTTTAAGGAAAACTGCAGGTTATCCCAGTTGCCAGCAATGTATCAGTGCAGCTTGCTGCATAAATTTAGTATCAAGCTGTCCTTAGTCAAGGACAGCCCTGGTCATCATGAAATTTCGTGGCATGTAGTGACAAGTAGTCTGCTAGGTAAAGCAGAATGAAAAGAAGTTGTGCATGTGTGTGGACCAATATGGGTGCACAGAATAGCAGCTCTTGTTTACTCGCCAAGGCCCTGAATCTGTATTCCGCACAACAATCGTGCAGGGACCTGGCTGGACTGGCAAAGAGAACGGAGCAAGGATACCGCGGGTGCATGACAGTCGACCCCATTCGTATCTCAGCCCAATATTTCGCCATTGCAATATGTTCCACAGCGTCCATGATACAGACTATGCTGACCGCGCGGTGGGGACTACGGGTAACGAAGGAATAACATCAGGCCAACACAAGCTTTCAGTTCCCACACCCACGCTTTCCAACGCCGCAGACACTCAACGCTTGATACATGAAAACACCCACAACCGGTTTGCAAAACTGTGGCTCGCCCTTCGCGGCAGCGAATGCCCCATCCATAGCAATGCCGATGCAGCGCAGCCGCCACGGGCACCTACCTGAACTTGTTCTCAACGAGTCCCAGGAGTTTCTCGTAGCCATCTCCGGTGTCCAACACAGCAGTCTTCTGCGACCCGCTCCCGTCCGCGAGCTTGATCGTGACTCGTCTTACCATGGGCCTCGTCTGCTCCGCCACGTCGATCTTGGACGCCCTGTCACCCTGCGCAGTTCCGAGGGACGATCGGAGCTTGCGAGGCGTCCCGGGGGCCGCTTGTGCAGGGAGGCAGTTTTGTGTGCCTGGGGCCTTCCAGGTCGGTTCCCCATGCCGCCGTACGGCAACACGCGCGTAGATTCCCGGTGGCTGGAGGGGAGATGCGGCTGAAGTGTGCAAACGATGGCGAGTGGCCGCATTTCGGAATTCGTGTTGCAACATTCGTGTCGCATAACCATGACACATGGATTGAATTGATGGTTTGGCCGTAAAGGGACATCGCTGATTGGGACCCGTCTGTCACTCAGCTGCCGCGTTCCCAAATCGCCTCCGCCAGAGCCACTTCCCCGCTGGCGAACCAGCCAGCGATCAATCAGCGCCTGTTTGGGTTCAGTCCGCCCATTTTTAACGTCTGGGAGCTCTTTTCGGTCTGGGTGACGCTTTTCAAACCATAAGACCTAAGATTCTAAGCAGTACACTGCTAGTTCAACAGTAAGAAACAACAGAACTAAGTGGCTGACCTTGTCCCTCGTGGGTATCAGACATATACCAGACAGAGAGAAACATGACAGCCCCTAGCAAGGACGTTATCGAATAGGAGGCTAGAGGATGCACATACCAGTCCCCATTCGAAGACAACAGGACCCTGCTTTCCACAAGTTCTGTACTCAGTACATGGAACTGGCAGAATGACCATCAGGAAGCTTCGCTCCAACAACAGGAAACAATTCCACACAATGCACACACTCTCGTCGGCCAAATTTGCATGCGAGTTTCATTTACGTGCTGCTGAAAAAGTTGATGTGCCTTTCCCAGTGAGCCTGGAGTCCTCATTGACAGCTCAGTTGTGCTGGTTCGATCGGCAGTGCTGCGGCATTCACAAGCCTGGCACGTTTGACATCTGCACTGCCAGGGCACTCAACACTGCAACCGAATGAGATAATGTCGATGTTCACGAACCGCCTTTGCATTGTCTGCCTTCAATGGACCTATGAGTTGCAGCTGTTGGTCTAACGTTGCCCACACAACCACACAGCTGCCAATGCATCTTTTCTTTCTTGCAGGGCTAACTGCACTGATTTGAAGAGCGAAGTGACATAATCAACTGGTTGGCTCATTGGCAACAAGACAGTTGTGCAGAGGTGCTGCTCACTACAAATGCACTGACAATGCAATTGAAGTCGTTGAAGGACCTCACTTGGTGCAGGATCGTGACTATGTTGTCGCCATCCAAGCAAATCCACAAAGCATTTCACTGTGGCTACTCACGCACAGCCCCAGTGCCACAGTTGTCAGAGCCGCGATCCCTCATTAAATGTCAATTCCCACCCAGCAACAATCCCTAACTAAACAGTCATTTCGCAAAGGCAAAGCCTCCCTGCCTACTTCCCTCTGCTGATCCACTGTTCTGGGAAGTGAGGGGGGCGGGTAGGCTAGGTTCTCTGAAGACGAGCCCCTGCAGTCAGCAGAGGAGTAGAGGCAACCCACGACGCCTTTCCAGGAGGGTGGCAGCTAATCCAACGCCATGCAGCGCGCTGCTCCCACTGCTTCCTGCACCTGCAGACAGAGCTCCACCGGGGTAAAAGGCTGGCCAACCCCCCGAAAGTCCAGAGCTGGCATGGATGGAAGGCTCCAGATGGTTCAGAGACTGTTGAAGCCCAACACGCACCAGCACCCCCACTTTCCCATTCCCGGCAGCCCGGTGTTGTCCACGGACATAAGCGTCCGCCGCTGGCAGCCCCCCTCACGAGAAGCTGGTCTGCCTCAAGCGCCGCTTTGCCACCGCCTCGCTGACGGGCACCAGCCGTCCCGTGCCGCCCAGGTGCTCCGGCAGCACCTCCCTGGGGACCTCCGCGTGCAGCACGCCCCACTGCCTCAACCCGAGGAAGCTTATCTTCTTCAGCGTGATCTCGTCCAGCATCGGGCTGAACAGCTTCCAGCTGTTCTCGAACACGCTGCCGGCGTTGTATATGAAGCACCGGCCCAGCCGCTCCACGAAGTGGTTGTTGATGATGTGGAACAGCTTCACCATCGCCGTGAGGTCCACGTTCGACACACCGAAGTCCGTGAGGTCGAAGACGAAGGTCATGGTGCGGTCGGGGTTGAGCGCCGGGTCCGCCGCGCTGATCAGCGCGTCTATGCAGTACACCGCCGAGCGCTCCAGCTCCTCGATGTACCGCGTCCACGCCCAGTGGTTCTTGGCCAGGAACACCAGCACGCCCCGCCCATTGACGTCCACGCCCTGCAAGAACATCTTCTCCGCCGCCAGCTCGTTGGGGATCTCCGTCTCCAGTACCCGCCCCCGCGGCATGAACTCCTCCCGCCACGCCGCGTGCGCGCGCACGCACTCCTCCGCCTTGTCCACACTCCAGTTCCGCGCCCGCAGCCAGCGGCACAACCACAGCTCGTCCATCATGTCCTCCCCGTCCCTAAAGTCCCCACCCCTGGCCAGCTTCAAGTTCAACACATCGTAATCCCCCCTCAGGCGGTCCCGCAGCTCGCCCACCTTGGCGGCCTTGCGCGCCGCCTTCTCCTCTGCCGTCGGGTGCTTGGGCTCCGACCCCATGGACACACCCGTCCACCAACCAATCCGCCGGCGCAAATCCAAGCGGCGGTGCCACGGTGGGCAGGCCGATCGGGCGGGCGGCCCTGGCGGCTTCGGGTTCTAGCACCGGCAGCGGGGCTGGCACGCGTGGCCGGGGGGCGGGGGTTGGGCTCGTTGTTGCGGTGCGGTGTCGGTGTGCGCGGATGGCTGGCAGCCCTTCTCCGCGGTGAATTTCGAGGATGATCCGGCTGGTGGGCGCGTTGAGTGCCCTGAGTGGGCGGGTACGGCAGGAGGGGTGCAAATAGGGGCAAGTGCGCTTCGCGAGGGGGATTGCCAGGATGATTGCGTTGAGGGTTTTCAACGAATGTGACGACGCTTCCATTTGGGTGGTGTCGGGGCGATCGATTGGACTCTCGTCGCACCATCGCGCTGAAATGGAAGGTGTCCTTGGGAAGTTTGGAGCACAGTTCCTCGAATGCGATTTCTGGAGCACGAATCCAGTGGAAAATGAGACGAGTTGTTGGGGTCGAGATGGGCCATTTTGTTCAGGGCGTTGCGTTAGGCAGTGATGTGGAATTTTGGAACCTGTGACGTGGATCCTCATGGACACTGCAGCAGTCCTATGGGCCACTTGAAGCGCACACGGCGCCAGATAGTGACCAAGGGTTCACTGGGTGGGTCATCAGTGTCTCATGGCAGCCGAATGCTCCTCATCTCACAGGCGTGAATCGCTGTGTGGAATGGCCTGAGCAAACCGCCGCAGTGAAAATTATGGAAACAGACAGTTGTGTCAATAAGTTTTTTAGAAATCACTTCTCTGATAAGGCTCTGGAATCGTTTAGCCATATTTGGCTCTCGGGTAGTTTTTCAATAACAGTCAAGTTTGCCTGAAACCGCATGATTTCCGAAATATTTGGCTGAAATCTTTGGGGATATTTAAGGAAAGGCGCTATGTCGAAATTGGTACGCTCAGTGTCGATTTGACAGTAAAGGGCGGGGTCCAGACCATTGATGCTAAGAGATTATGTCATTGCCACAAAATCGACATAAGCCGGGGAGATGCCCAAACCGCCGCTGCTGAGCGGCGAACCAGTCATGGAATTGCACCAAACCTCTCTTAAGCGCTCAATATTCAAGGGAGGTCTGAAAATAACACAACTGACAGCCCCCAGGCTGTCCCTATTGACTGCCATCATTTCCAATATCGCATTTCAATCTTGTTGTATTCTCTGCATCATTGGCTGTTTGCCTTCCTTGAACATTTATTCGCATTCCTCACAACGTTTGCTTAAAAAAAATCTTCTGCATTGTGCGCAATCAGTTTCACTACAGAATGCTGCTCATTGCACTTCAAAATAGTGATGGGACTCCTGCCAATAGGCTCTTAGTGTTCCTATTTAGCTGCTTCACTAACTGCATTGGGTCCCGTAATTTCAGTGATTATCCCTACGTGCGCTGTCACCCCGTAGGGCTGTTGCTCCTCGTGTCACAGGGGAATGCACCCTGACAGCCGCATATTGTGATGATTGATAAATAATCAACCATAATGACACCATTGTAACATGTCTTTGCTGCTGGGCAACAAAGGCAGAATTTAGCATAACTATGCCATGGAATTCTGCCCCTCGATCAAATTTGAAAAGGAAGCGAGGAAAAATTACTGTCTCATAGTGTTTGCTAATTTCGCCACTTGGGAAGTGGCTCATCGAATGGAATGGAGGGCAACGTGCATCCTCACGTAAGCAGACCATAACGCTGGTAGTGCATTCCTGATACAGAGCATCAAGGATTGCTGTTGCTTCCAATTAGAATTGCTCAATCGATTCAGCGTCGATCAACCTAGTTCGATTGGAAATATGAGCAAATGCTGACATTTGTCATCATTCTTCACTTGTCGGGAAGCGGCCATGACTATTGCACAGCCCAATCGTGCACCATGCAATGATATTGGTATCAATTGGACTCGAGTGACTTGGTCACAATCAATCTCTTGGACTTGAGTGACTTGGCAGCAATCAATTGGACTCGAGTGAATAATCGTCTGTTCAACAACCATTGGTTGTTGGTTGTGGTATAGAACACATCACTGCATATCCATTACGTTTACGTTTGCGCTTTTACTTTTACGTTTTTATGCGTAAAAACGTCAATTTGCAAATGGGCCTACTTTTGAGGCTATTTTTATGCTTTTGCGGCTCGCTGGGACACCCAGGTTACACGATGAAAGTTGCGTACAGTGATCAATCCTCCGCCATCTCCAGCACCCCCAACACAATGTTCACCTTGCCTTTGGGAAGGGCGATGATGGTGTTCAACAAAAGCTCGTTTTCTGCCCCTTCCAGGGCGTCTGGCTGCCACTCTCCGGACTCCGTTAGTCAGACTGACAGACTCTGTACGTACTGTCATTATGTACACCGGGCAGTTCTTACGTTGTGTTTACGTATTTTTACGCATTTTACCCGTAAAAATGTAAAAACTAGATTTACGATGAAAAACGTAAATACGATCATTTTTTGCGGCGTAAAAACCAAGCCTGGCTGCCCGGGATTCTCAATGTGGAATGCGTTGATACAGTGATTGATTGTTTTGTGGTGACAATTCTGGTACCACTGTCAATCCGAACATGCTCTTGGTACAGTCCCTATCCATAGTGACGTCGATTTGGCAAGAACAGGTGTTTAGCCTTGTATAACGTTCGAAATCTCACCGTTTGGGGCCCAAGCATAACCGTACTTTCTTGTGAGTGTTTTATGGTGTGCGCAATGCGCGAAAATCTGGACGTCAGCACTTCCTCAGCGTAACCTCACTGGTACGTAATCCAGGTCCCTGTGGTATTGAGCTGTCCACTGCAACAAATTTCAGCACTGATTGTTGTGTTTTGTTTGTTGCACAGCCTGGTCTGAGAGCGCATAAGTAAGTTCTGTTGGTGGGGCTCTTGCACATCAAAAGTCAGCTTCAACATCTGCCCAGCGTTCCGTGGTTGGCTAAACTGCTGCACGTTCTGAAAAATGCGATGATGGGGGCGGTGGCTTCACTTGGGTTGCGCAGCCGGCGACGGGGGTTGACGACACAGTTGGCACAGCACCATTGGTGCACCCGCCAACCCCGGTGCCCCAGGTTGCTCTACCTTCTCCCCAAAATATGTGGACCCCATCACCAAGATACTCTTCAGTCACATATGCTCCAGGAATTAGGCACACCGATGTCACTACCATGTTGGAGGGTAAATGGAATATGCAGTGGAATACGATCTGGAGTTGGTGCGTTAGCACATGCTTGCCTGCAAAGCGCTGTACACAATAATCCGTGTAGGGGGGCAGTCCCTTGACTGCTTGACCCCCAGCAGAGGGTATTTATTTGACAGCAGATGCTGCAGCATATCTTGAGGGTCACAGCCAGAGATTGTTCACTGCGATGCATAGTACTTTTTCACGATTGCTGCCTGTAAACAAGTTCAGTTTGGCGTTTTAGAGCAAAAGAAGATCAGATTTTCAGCATATTACTCAGTAGCACTGCAGCGCACTGTGCCACGTTGCATTGTATTATCCCTTTTGCTACCCCATTGTGTCATGCAGCATCATAGTATGATGAATACTGGGAGACATGATCCCAAGCATTTATGAATACCTGCATTTCCATTGAGGAGATGAGACGGTCAAATAAATGGCACCCCTAGCAACTGGATACTGGTCTGCGTACCCTGGTGTGCATAAGTGGAATATTCTAACATGGTCATTTCCCCGTTGGCCATGCAGTGTGTTTCAGCTGGCAGCCACTCTGAATACGAACAGTTGCGCTCGCTACTTCACCAGCTGTCAACATTATACGCTCCAGTATTGTTTAGTACTTCATACGAAGCAGCGCTCACGTGGCATCAAGCTGCTGCTCGCTCACTGGAAGTTCTGGATAATCTTCCTGCCTACAGCATTTTTTGCCCCTTTGTTCGTAAGGTATAGTCATTCCTGTGCTTGCCTTGTGGTACATTTACAATCACAGCGTATGCAAAGCCGAGGGGGACAAGGGAAACGTGGCTGTGACAACAGACGCCTGAACCACAGCAGACCGCACAACCCTCTTGCTGATCACCCATAGCTCTGATGTACTGCACTGAAAGATGGCATTCCTATTAATGGCCAATGGCAATATGATCCATAGATCTTCGCATGAGCTGGATGCCTGTTCGTGAATCAACTGTAACAAGAGGGCCACATCGCGATTCATGGGTGGGTGGGGCGGCGCGGGGTGCCGGGTATGTGGGGCGGGTACGAGGGGTGGCGTCGGTGTCTGGGCTGAACCACGAGACGATCCGTGCATATAGAGTTGACAATGAAATCGTGTTGCAGACTGAATAAGGCGATTTGTATGTGGCGCCAGTTGGCGGCAAAGACGGCAGAGGAACGGATAAGCATGCCGCTCTGCCATCGTTTGCCCAGCGAACTGAGAAGCCCTTGTGTCCCTTGCAACAGGTTCCCACCGTGGGACGGGAGGGTCGCCGATTCCGAACAGCGGCTATCTTTACTAAGGTTTGGTCCAGAATGATGGCTGACATGACCTCGAATGCTGGGTTGGAAGCTGTGGTGAGATGACTTGCAGTCAACCGAGCTCCCTGGTAAGACTATAAGTCAATGTTTGGCCTTGTGGTGGACTGCCTATATTTATGACCCAGTATGTCACAGAATGGATTTTGGGCTCAGTTCCTGTGCTTCTGAAATCTTGCTCTAGAGGGTAGTTCCGTGGTTCTCTTGTTTCTGACAGCGCGACTTCTCCTATGCTCAGGAACTGAGGGAAGGATATCCGTTGACGGGCGTCGTCGTGTTTGATTATCTGCATGCGCCTCGTAGTTTAGTTAATAGATGCTAAAATTGAGGTGCCTGGTGCTCTTGTGTGATTTGTTTCGCTGGAGCGCATGGGTACCCACAAATTTTGCCCAGGTGTGCTTTTGGGCGCAACGGAGTCAAAGTTCTGCATGAGCAACGACTGGGAAATTGGCCTACCGCACTATAAATCGTCCCTTAGCTGGT